ACACAAACATTAGATGTTGCCATGGTTTAATTGCACATAACATGTAAACATTCACAGTGCAGGGAGGAAAAAGTATGTGAACCTTTCGACCTAATAACTGGTTGACCCTCCTTTTGGCAGCAATAACCTCAACCAAACGTTTCCTGTAGTTGCAGATCAGACCTGCACAACGATCTGGAGTAATTTTGGACCACTCCTCTTCACAAAACTGTTTCAGTGTAGCAATATTCTTGGGATGTCTGGTGTGAATCGCTCTCTTAAGGACATGCCACAGCATTTCAATCAGGTTGAGGTCAGGACTCTGACTGGGCCACTCCAGAAGGCGTATTCTGTGCTGTTGCAGCCATTGTTTTGTTGAATTACTTGTATGCTTTGAGTCATTGTCCTGTTGCATCACCCATCCTCTGTGGAGCTTCAGTTGGCAGACAGATGGTCGTACGTTGTCCTGCAAAATGTCTTGATAAACTCTGGAATTCATTTTCCCATCAATGACAACAATCCGTCCAGGCCCTGAGGCAGCAAAGCAGCCCCAAACCATGATGCTCCCTCCATGTTTTACAGTGGGGATGAGGTTTTGATGTTGGTGTGCTGTGCCTTTTCTTTCTCCACACATAGTGTTGTGTGTTCTTCCCAGACAACTCAATCTTGGTTTCATCTGTCCACAGTATATTTTGCCAGTAGTGCTGTGGAACATCCAGGTGCTCTTTTGCAAACTTCAAACGTGCTGCAATATTCTTTTTGGACAGCAATGGCTTCCCCCGTGGTGTCCTCCCATGTACTCCATTCTTGTTTAATGTTTTCCTTATTGTAGATGTGTCAACAAAAATGTTAGCATGTGCCAGAGATTTCTGTAGGTCTTTAGCTGACACTCTGGGATTCTTCTTTACCTCATGCAGCATTCTGCGCTGTGCTCTTGCAGTCATTTTTACAGGACGACCACGCCTAGGGAGAGTAGCAACAGTGCTAAACTTTCTCCATTTGTAGACAGTCTATCTTACTGTGGGACACATGAACATCAAGGCTTTTGGAGATACTTTTGTAACCCTTTCCAGCTTCATGCAAGTCAACAATTCTTGATCGTAGGTCTTCTGAGAGCTCTTTTTCTGCGAGGCATGGTTCACATCAGACAGTGCTTCTTGAAACCAGTAAACCCAAAACAGGTGTGTGTTTAAGGGCAGGACAGCTGTCAGCAACACATCCAATATCATCACACTGATTGGAGTCTAGGTTGGCTCACTCCTGGCTCCAATTAGCTCTGGGAGAAGTCATTAAGCTAGGGCCTCACATACTTTTTCCTCCCTGCACTGTGAATGTTTACATGTTATGTGCAATTAAACCATGGCAACATCTAATGTTTGTGTAGTATTACGTTCAGCAGACTGTGTTCTATTGTTGTGACTTAGATGACGTTCAGAGCACATTTTATGCCCAGTTAATGCAAAACTCGTAATCCCAAGGGGTTCACATACTTTTTCTTGCAACTGTATACTATCGCTTGCACATGTCACCTAGCTACCTCTGATGAAGTAATGTAGTGTATGACGATACGCGTGAGAAGTCAGGTGACGTCAGCACTCCTACATCGTTCCGACAGGCAGGGTCTTGATCTTCATTGTTTGATTCTGACCTCTGTTTTTATGCGTTTTTAACACTATTATCATGTGAGTTTCATATGCTTTAATAAATATATGCATTTTATAGAAGCCTACTGCACTACGGTCTACTTTGTGATTGTTTAGCTTTATCCACAGAGTTGGCTGTACTGAAATCGGGTGCCATTTTTGAAGGTCCAGTGGTGATTCAAAAGGGGAAGAGTGTGCAGAGGAGCAAGTTATGTGTTACCCCCACTAACAGGGGAGATGCTTTGTTTGACCTGTATCCACATACAGGTCCATGCGAGGAGGTGAGAGTCCACCTGGAGGTCTATGTTCACTGTGGTAATTCACATGTATTGAAGATTTACAGCACTGGGATTTTGAGTGCAATCACCAGCAGGAAGTTTTTCACTTATTTGGTGTGTTTTTTTTTTTTTTTTTTTTTTTTTTTTTTTTAAGTGCATTTATTTTTGTTTTATCATCTTTTGTGACTATCAGTCACGTTTTTGTTCGTATATTTACATGTTTTGATTTATGCTAGCAGCATGACACTTTCATTTGTTTTAGTAAAAAAACGTAATATCACTATGTATGGTGCTGTTGTCCATAAAATTCAAAAACATTAGAGATATGATAGGAATAGTGATGTTTTGTGAATATGTACTGATCGCTTCTAAATTTCTTGTGGGGAACATTATTAATCATTTATTCAGAGAAGGATGGCTTCAAGCAGTGTGAAGAACGCAAGTGATAGTATTTGAATGTAGATATAAAATATAGAATATTTTAAGGTGCCCACGGAAATAGAGAGCTTGCTAGATTTTATTTGCCCAGTTGACCAGTCTCGGGAAAAAAAGCACAAAGTGTAAATTGAAAATGTTAACATTTTCAAATCACCAGAGTAACTTTTAACTTTGCAAGGGCATTTTTATTTCCCTTAATGCTTGTTAGTAAATTACTTTGCAAAGAATACTGAATTGTGTGCAAGGAAAATAAAAAAAAAAAAATATTTGCACATGCATTTATGATAGCATAACTAGCCCTGCTAACTAGGTTTCCCTGCTAACTAGGTTTCCCTGCTAACTAGGTTTCCCTGCTAACTAGGTTTCCCTGCTAACTAGGTTTCCCTGCTAACTAGGTTTCCCTGCTAACTAGGTTTCCCTGCTAACTAGGTTTCCCTGCTAACTAGGTTTCCCTGCTAACTAGACAAATTGCATTTGTCAGGTAGGACTTAACATACAGAAACTGCCATTTTAAACTTATTGATAATATTTTGAGTTTATTACTCTATGGGGTTAGTAAAGCAGTAAAGAAGTTTTTTTTTGTTTTTTTGTTTCATTTACCTTGCAAATGATTCGGTTTTCAAAGTGAACTTGGCTTCACCTTATTGGCTAAGCTAAGTGAACATTGGTCTTGCTAAGTGGACTTTCTCTACTCATTTAATAAATCAATCCCTATGAATTATCATTAAATGCTATTTAGAGCAACCAGTTTTAAGAACATTTACTTAATGATTTTAAAGTGAAGCCATGTTCTCTTCAAATGTTCAATGAATGAGTATCATCAGCACATTCTGTAGTTTATTTACTTACTAAAGCTGGTTCCCTCAGAATCTACTGCAGCTGTGCATTGTAGCCAATCAGCTTCTAACTCAACCTCTATGGTTTCTATGCAGAAGTGCAGGAGATTCTGAATGAGTCAGCTTTAGTAAATAAACGCCACTATGATTAAGGTAATACTCAAGTCACTAATGAAAGGAACAGGACAATGTGGGAAACATGCAAAAAAATTTTTTTCTCTACACCTGAGTATTTAAAATAAACATATACACAGCTTATATGGTAAGTTAAATTAACATTTGATACTCCTTTTGTAACTCTTAACCCCCAACATGCCTATGAGGAGATTAAGTTGACTCTGTGGGGTTTATTTACTAAAGCTGGTTCACTCAGAATCTCCTGCACTTCTGCATGGAAACCAATCAGCTTCCAGGTTTTATTGCTTAAAGCTGAATTGAACAAGCTGAGCTTATGCAGGCCATAAACGGTTCGTTTATTGGCTGATTTTTCGTCCGAAAAAATAATAGGCCGATCTTCACACTGTTAGTGGGGCAATGGCATCAGCTGATTTTTCGCAGTTCCTCATTCCGTTTATTGGTCATGCTGGAAAATTTGTGACAAACGGCCGATTTTCACAATCATTGGTGGCAACATCGGTTTACAGAACGAATGATGTTTTTTTTTCGGACAAAAAAATCGGCCGATAAACGAACAGTCTATGGCCTGCATTTGAAGCTGATTGACTACCATGCACAGCTGTACCAGATTCTGAGTGAACCAGCTTTAGTAAATCTCCCCCTGTGTCTCACCACTACTTATAATTTGGAGCATGAAATATGGGCTTGCTATTCACAAACATATAACAGTAAGGTCTTATCCAAAATACAGTCCCCAAAATTTCATGTAGCCAATATGGCAAATGAACATAATTACAACCTGAAAGTGATTGATTGTGATGATGGTGATTTTGAGGTTAATGAAGATGGTAATGATTATTTGCACCTTTCCCTTACAATAAAATTGTTATAGCACTACTAGTTTCAAACACCTCATCAGACCCAAAGAAATGCTAATGAATATAGAAAAGGAAGATAATGAGATTTGGGATGAGATCAGAATGTGTGTTTGTTGCAACATAAAATAAACAACAAAGTCAGGTTATAGGTTGAGGTTTTGTCTTTGTTATACAATTATGTTGTTGCCTGTGTTGAGATTTCTAAAACATATCCACCTTGTCCTGACACATGCCTGAGACTGAAAAAGGGAAGTAAACAACACCTCCCTGTAATGTCAAGCATGGTATTAATTCATAGTACAATCCAATATATTTTTATGCTGCTTCGCTACCTTAATTTATAATAAGTTACCCACAAATGGAATCACAATAAGGATTGTAAACCACTACCAAACATTTAATAATCTACTAATTCTTTATACCGTATTTATGGGCGTAATAAGACGACTGGGCGTACAAGACGACCCCTACTTTTCCTGTTAAAATTTAGGGTTTGGGCTATACTCGCCGTATAAGACTACCCCTCTTCCAATGCACACCAAATAGAAATGAAAAAACATCAGATTTGATTTCAATATGGTATGGTATTCCAATGATGGGGTGCTATTCCTCCCACTGACACCAATGATGGGGCACTATTCCTCCCACTGACACCAATGATGGTGCCCAATCATTAGTGTCAGTGTCAGTGGGAGAAATCGTATCATTGGTGTCAGTGGGAGAAATCGTGCCCCATCATTGGTGTCAGTGGGAGAAATCGTGCCCCATCATTGGTGTCAGTGGGAGAAAATCGTGCCCCATCATTGGTGTCAGAGCGACGAACTGTGCTCCATCATTGGTGTCAGAGGGAGGAATAGCGCCCCATCATTGGTGTCAGTGGGAGGAACAGCGCCCCATCGTTGGTGTCAGTGGGAGGAACAGCGCCCCATCGTTGGTGTCAGTGGGAGGAACAGCACCCCATCATTGGTGTCAGTGGGAGGAACAGCACCCCATCATTGGTGTCAGTGGGAGGAACAGCACCCCATCATTGTGTCAGTGGGAGGAAATAGTGTCCCAACGTTGGTGTCAGTGGGAGGAATAGTGTCCCCAACGTTGGTGTCCCCATCGTTGGTGTCAGTGGGGGGAAGGAATAGTGTTCCATCATTGGTGTCAGTGGGGGTGGAATAGTGCCCCATCATTGGTGTCAGTGGGAGGAATTGTGCCCCATCATTGGTGTCAGAGCGACGAACTGTGCTCCATCATTGGTGTCAGAGGGAGGAATAGTGTCCCAACATTGGTGTCAGTGGGAGGAATAGTACCCCCATCGTTGGTGTCAGTGGGAGGAATAGTACCCCATCTTTGGTGTCAGTGGGAGGAATAGTGTCCCAACGTTGGTGTCAGTGGGAGGAATAGTGTTCCATCGTTGGTGTCAGTGGGGAAGGGAAGGAATAGTGTTCCATCATTGGTGTCAGTGGGGGTGGAATAGTGCCCCATCATTGGTGTCAGTGGGGGTGAATAGTGTCCCAACATTGGTGTCAGTGGGAGGAATAGTACCCCATCATTGGTGTCAGTGGGAGGAATAGTGCCCACCCCATCGTTGGTGTCAGTGGGAGGAATAGTGTCCCCAACGTTGGTGTCAGTGGGAGGAATAGTACCCCATCATTGGTGTCAGTGGGAGGAATAGTGTCCCAACGTTGGTGTCAGTGGGAGGAATAGTACCCCATCATTGGTATCAGTGGGAGGAATAGTGTCCCAACGTTGGTGTCAGTGAGGAGGAACAGCACCCCATCATTGGTGTCAGTGGAACAGCACCCCATCATTGGTGTCAGTGGGAGGAATAGTGTCCCAACATTGGTGTCAGTGGGAGGAATAGTACCCATCATTGTGTCAGTGGGAGGAATAGTGTTCCATCGTTGGTGTCAGTGGGGGAAGGAATAGTGTTACATCGTTGGTGTCAGTGGGGGTGGAATAGTGCCCCATCGTTGGTGTCAGTGGGGGGGAGAAATGGTGTCACTGGGGGGAGGAAAAAAGTGCCCCATCGTTGGTGTCAGTGGGAGGAATAATGCCCCATCATTAATATCAGTGACACCAATGATGGGGCACTATTCCTCCCACTGACACCAATTACACTTGCTGACCCCTGTTCCAGTATGGTGCTGCTGCAGCCAGCATATGTGGTTGCAGCAGCACCTCTGCGCGGCACACTTACCGGCCGCTCCCTCACTCGATTTTTCACCGGGGCCGCTCGGCTCCGCCTCCTCGCCGGTGATTGGCTGCCTGTGTGCCTTTCCTGAGCTACAGTTCTGGCGGACAATCACCGGTGAGGAGGCAGAGCCAAGCAGCCGCGCGAACATCATGAAGGAGCAGCCGCGCTTCCTGGACTAGATCGTCATGGAACTGGGACCAGAGCCAGGTAAGAAACAGCAGCCCCTGCCCACCCCTGTACTTAGTGTCCCTTGGAAGGGGGGGTGGCGGCGGCACCGCGCTGCCACCTAAAAAGTGCTGCCCTGACACCAAGTGTCAGTATGCCGTATACCGGCGTATAAGACGACCCCTGACTTTTGAGAGGATTTTCAAGGGGTAAAAAGTCGTCTTATACGCCGGAAAATACGGTAGTTAAAATACATCTTCCTGGCAGGACACAGCAATATAAATTGAGGATACATACTTCAATATGCAACAGTCTTTACTTCAAAAATTGTGTTTTACATTACAATTCATAAGCTTGTTGAAGAGCAGGGATGCTTGAAACTGTACAGTCGCTATATCCCATATGGGTTGTAATATACACAAATTTTTGAAGTAAGCGAGTGCTACATGACAAATTGAAATTCCTGCTGAACTGCTTTGATTGCAAACTATCTATGGGCAAAGCAGCCCCCCAGGTTGAGGGATTGTGGCCTGGTAGGGTTCAGGAGGGGGGGCGCTCGCTCATCCCCCCCCCCCTTTCCTGACCTGCCAGGCTGCATGCTCTGATAAGGGTCTGGTACGGAAATTTGGGGGGGGGGACCCCACGCCATTTTTAAAAAAATTTGGTGTTGGGGTTTCCCTCAAAATCCATATCAGACCCAAAGGGCTTTGCATTTTTTTAATTGCCGGCTATTCTTTCTTTTACATTCAGCTGTCCATGCGGAACCCCGCTGACAGCTGAAACATTAAAAATGGCTTTCACTACTAAAATACCGCATGACTTGATAAAATAACTTGTGGTATTTTAGTCGTGTTTCTAGTGAATTCAAATTTTTATTTTTTTCTAAAAATGCTGTGCGGTATCCTACCGCATACTCTGATGTGGTAGGATACCGCTTAGTGAATTGTGCCTATAGAATCTTAAAGTGTGGAAACAGTCTTTGTTTACCTGAGATAATTTTATAATATTTAATCTGCTGCTACTCCAATGAACAGTAACAACTAGAAACTGGACCAGAACAATATTTCAGAATATTTATAAAAACATTAAAATAAAGTTAAATTCAACTTAAAAGCTATACCCATAGCCCTAAATGTAAGAAGATTATTAGATGTTTGATATTTGATTAGGTCATTTGCTTGCTTTGAATGTCTATGATAACTTTTTTCTGCCAACCTGTACAGTTTCTGGAGCTACAGTATATACAGTCCCCTAAGGTGTGTTTTCTTCAAATAGCCAAAATGTACCTTTCCCAATTATGTAATACTTACCCCAATTTTTTATTGCAGATATGTGACACCAGATCATCACATCAACCAGCATTTCCACCTGGATCAACTGCCCTGTCTATTGCAATCATAGATGAATTACCAGATGGACTGCAGAAAATAATTTCTTTTCAGACCTGACAGCTGTGAAGGAAAATGGATGTGTGTCACAGTCCTAGTGCAAATGGGGCTTACAGGAAAAGACCAACACTTTTACCACCCAGGGGTGGACTGACCATTTGGAAACTCTGGCACTGCCCGAGGGCCCAGGGTCAGTAGGGGGCCCCATGAGATGCCCCAGGTACCTTTTCTTCATAGGCTTTTTTTGAGTTTGGGCAAGGACACAGGGGCCCCATGATCCCCTATTGCCCGGGGGCCCCATGAGTTGTCAGTCCGCCCCTGTTACCACCCAAGCCTATTAAAATGTATCACGTCTTTATTGAAAAAAGACCCAGGAAATCTGAAAACTGCCCTTATGGGCTGTTGTCATAAATTGCACCAAACTATCTCAACACAGAAGGAACTAAAACAAAAAATGAACGCACTCCAGATAACCTGGTCGGATTTATGAAAGTATGTGAAACAGTTGAAGCCCAAAACAGTACTTATAGAAAAACACTGTCAGTTCTTTCTTTTTAAATGGATCTTTAGAGAATCACAAGTATATGATTATTATGGATGATTTATTAGAGTGAATATAGTTATGTGTGAAAAAATAATACTGGAAAAAATCACCTTAATTTCTTTGCCCTTTTATAATCAAAACAGTGGAGCTCAAACTCAGGCCTATGAGGATATGAATTTCAGGACCTGTATCCAAAGGACAAAAGGAGTTGCTATTATTTTGTTGAATCCGATCATATTCATGTCACTTAAAAAAATGCATTTTGTTAATAATGTTAGTTAAGGGATTACTTGCTAAGGCTGAAAATGCAGGTTTCTTGTTAAAAACAGTTTTCTTAGATAAGTCCATTCGACAATGGTCAGGGTAGGCATATTTGGTGAGCAAAGCTTCAATGATGGATTGATAAAATGAAGGCAGATATTCAAGGTCTAGTGTCTGGCTTACATTGTCTAAGAATGGCCCCTTAACCTTAACTGTTTGTAACCCTTCTGGAATTTTGGTCTCTCTATTTCTAGCTAGCAATCCAAGGATGAGCATGAGTAAAACCTCAAAACCTGACAAGCTAAAGTCAAATAAAGAGAGATGTAAATTAAAGTGATTTATCAACACACAAAAAAAAAAAAAAAAGAAAGACAAGCAGTAGTTGAGATAAAGATACTGTAAACTTTATCATTTATTATTGTCTGCAACACTTCATTTGTTTTACTTTAAAATTAAAACATTGCAAATTTTACATAGAACTTTTAAGCCTTATTCCTTGGATCCACTTCCAGAAGCGGACACTTTTAACTCCCAGTTCCTGTCCAGGCTAACTAATTTTCAATCTTTTCAGTGATCTCACATTGATTGCCTGTATCTGTGAAGGCAGACTCAGCATACACATGTCTTCTCAACATCTGAAATTTCTTATCATTTCTTTTCACCAAATAGAGCTTTTCATTTGGGTGGTATTTAAATCACCACTGGGTGGTTTTATCTTTTTTTTCTAGAAAAAGTGGAAAAAAAGACTGAAATTTTGAAATTTAAACCTGTTTTTTCTTATGTTTATGTTACTAGATTTTTGCTAATAAATATATACTTTCTTCATTAATTTATGCCAAAAATCCATTGTGCTACATTTGTTTTGTAGAATAACCCAAATCAGTCTTTGTATTATTTAGTCTGTAAATAAAGGTGTATGATGTACACAGACCACCGGTTTGGACTATATTATATTTGATATATTTGGAAAATTTTTACGCAGAGTCCTGATGTACTGTCTACTGCTATATAGTTTTCAGGGCCCTAAATGCCTAGGTACAATGGACAAATTACCCCATAAATATGACCCCTTTTGGAAAATAGACAGTATGAAGGTATTTAATGAAGGCAAGGATGAGTTTTTTTGAAGTTGTAATTTTTTGCAAGATTTTTTAAGGGTCAAATGTATGAAAGTAAATTTAATTTTTTTTTCACAAAGTAGTTGTCATTTATAACAAGTTATTTCTCTCACACGGCATAGGCATACTGTGGACAGTTACACTAAAACACATTCTGCTACTCCTTTCCTGAGTATGGTGATACCAAATGGGTGAAACTTTTGGTCACAGCCTCGCACATGTTAGAAGGCCCCACATCCATACAGCACCTTAGGCATTCTAGGGGCAAAAAAACTCTTACACATCTAATGTCTTGACTGTCTATCACAGTTTTGGAGGTCCTGGAGCACCAGGACAAAGGAATTACCCACAAAATGACCCCATTTTGGAAAGAAAACACCCCAAGTCTTCTGAAGACTGCATTTTTTGCCAAAAACGTTTTGGAAAATGTGAAAAGAAGATGAAAATGTATTTTTTTCTATGCAAAGTTGCCAGTCTATGAGATATATCTATTACACAAACATAGGCATACTTAAAATTACACCCAAAAACACATTCTATAACTTTCTGAATATGGCGAAACCAAATGTGTGAGACTTTTTCACAGTCTGGCCACATAGGGGGGCTCCACATCCAATAAGCACCTTTTGGAGTTCTAGGGGAAAAAATGACACATCTAATTTCTTGACTACCTAATGCCATTTGGAGGTCCTGGAGCATCAGGACAATAGAATTACCCACAAAATGACCCCATTTTGGAAAGCAAACACTCCAAGGTATATTTTAAGAGTCATGTGGAGTCTTCTGAAGACTGCATTTTTTGCCAAAAGTTTTTGGAAAATGTGAAAAGAAAATGAAAATGTTTTTTTTTTTTTTTTACGCAAAGTTGTCAATCTATGAGATATTTCTATTATACAACATAGGCATACTTAAAATTACACCCCAAAAACACATTCTATAACTCTTCCTGAATATGGCGATACCAAATGTGTGATCAGAGATACCGTGAGCTGGCAGGCAATGTTTTGTGAGTGTGTGCAAAGACTAAAAAGTACTCAGTTTGCTGTAATGGCTCTCAGGTGATCAGGACTGGTATGGTGGTGATCAGGACCCGTGGGTTTTGATTTGGCAGCGATCAGGATCCA